AAGAGACGTAGCGGGGCGTGGGGGGGCAGCTGGAGTGTGAATGTGCAAACGGACAAGCACTTGGAGAAGAACAATTCGTTATTTGTCAAAGACTTGAGCTCTTTGAGGTGTGTCCTGCAAATGTACATCCATTACCTATCTTTTTTGTATTTTCTGTGAGTTTTCTGTATTAATTCAATGTCCACTCAATATGCTCTACATTATCATAGAGAAAGACAGAATAAGTACAGGTCTGAGAAGAGGGATACTTCACTGGGATTTCTAAGAAATTTTCAGGAATTAGTTTGATCTATATCCCAGCAACTTTAAAGACAGGATTGGAGGGGATCTGGAGAGATTGCCTTGTATACCCTTCTTGCCTAACTGTACATAAGTCTTTCTCGACAATTCTGGATGTTTGTTAAATTAATAGGGCTATTGTAATAGTAGCCTTGTTACTGACCCAGACTGCTGACACTGTTCTGTTGGTGGAGTCTTGTAAAATGTATTTGTCATGATGCAGAGAGGTGTATGTAACCAAAGGCACGTGCTCCAAACTAAAATAGGAGTTAGCAGTCAGTGTTACAATAGTCTCAATGGTGAAAAGAAGTTTTGATTCTATGAAATACATGTATTGCTGTGTAATTTTAAAAATAAATATAACAAGATTATGATAAAATGAATGTATATACTATAAAAGTGATTTATATATACTTTAATAATTCCAAATGACAAAAAATTAGGAGTTCACTGTGTTTACTTATTTCATGAAACAGTAATTTTGAGAGGTGATTAAACTAAAGTTTTTTCACTAAGTGGCTTACCAGTTGTCTGTAATATAGATATGATTTGAGCCGTTAATCATCTCGATTCTATACTTTGCCAGCATGTTGTATCTCTTTCTTATTTAAACCTTAAACTTGCATTAATCTCGACACAAGTAGAGTTTATACCCATGCTTACCTTCAGGATAAATCACAGGTTATTCTGTGTAGGTGTCACTCCTGTGGGGCTTTTGGCTAGAAGCTCTTCAGCCCAAGGACTGCTCTTAGTTTAGGAGAGGTACGTAACCACGCCGGTTGCTGCTCTGGGGGCTGAGCCGTGGTAGGTGAGAAGACTGTATTGCTTTTGTGACATGACCTAGGGTAACTTACTGTGGTTTTGAAGAGGGATTGGATTTCTATCTCAGCACTGCCAGACTCAGAACATAATGAGTCGTTTCTTTCCATTATTTGAACTGCTAGGAAGAGCATCTCTTTTTCTCCTTGGCTGGCAGTTTTGGAGGTTAGTCACATGAGAGTGAAAAGGTGTACTAAAGGAAGCAGAAGCTAAAATACTAAGGAAGTATTACGTAAAAATTCTTAAGGTTCAAGTTGATTAAAACAGAAAGGTGTTTTAAATTTATTTGAAGATGCAGAAAAAAAAGCCATACCTGTCTATGGCCAGATCCTGCCATTACTGTTTGTGCCAGCTATAGACTTTATTAAAGCTGCTTTGCCACAAGCATGGCACATCAGAGAAGATTAAGGTCTTTGCGTTGATTCTTATTGGACTCAGAAATGTGTTGTCTTTCATAAACTACTCTTATCACTGTTCTTACGCACCTAACACAAAAATAATGGCGTCAACAAAACACAGACTCAAGAGTGTTCTTGAGGCTGTCTAATTGGTTGTAGTTGGTATGTTGTAGCTGCACCTCTAGAATAAAAAAATTATAAAATGTTATGATCCCATCATCAACTGTTTATTATAAGGGAATAATCAAGAAATTCCTTTGTACTAAAACTGAGACCTGGTGCACATTCAAGAAAAAAGCAAATAATTACTCAGGATGCCAGTGTTTGTCTATTTTCAATATTCTGATGCATCAGAAGGGCTATATGAGAAAATCTTAAATAAACATAGCTTAAGGCTGCTTTTTCTAAAGCCCCATTGTACTAAGTCTGACTGGGATGGTGTTAATTTTCTTCGTGACAGCCCCTGTGGTGCTTACTGTGTTTGGGATTTGTGACTAAACCAAGGCTGGTAGCACACTAGTGGTTTGGCTATTGCTGAGCAGCCCTTGCCCAGCATCGAGGTTTTCTCTTTTCCCACTCTGTGGAAGGGGACGGAACCTGGACAGCTGGCCCAGGTTGCCCAGAGGGATATTCCGTGCCCTATAGCATCACACTCAGCAATAAAAACTGCAGAGGGGAGTATTTTGGAGGAGGTAGCCATTGCTTGGAGACTGGCTTGGGTATTGGTCTACTTGTGGGAGGTGGCGAGTGGTTGCCTTTGCATCACTTGTTTTGTTTTTTCTTTCTCTTTCCTTCACTTATTAAACTATTATCTCGACCCACGAATTTCCTCACTTGTGGTCTTTCTGTTCTCTCCTCTCGTCCCACTGCCCGGGGACAGCCCACCACACCCACAGGGCAGCATCTGCCAGGAGATGAAGTGCTCCGGTGGGTAATTCTGGAGTGCAAAGTGAGATAGCAAATACATGTTTAATGATGTAGGTTTCTGTTATGGACATTCATGTGGAAGTCTTCATTTGACTTTGATAGATCAAAAACCAGCTACTCAGTTAATGTTAATTGTTGTAAATTTCCTATCAAATTGTTTGGTGTTCAATTGCAATGTTGGTTTTTTTCCTTTTTTTTTTTTTTTTTTTTACTTTTTAATAGTACCTCTACTTTCTTGGTAACTGTTAATATCGTTTACGTGGTTTTGACTGGCCGTTTACCATATCCAGCTAGAATAATAAAAGTAAACATGGAAAACACACCTAAAACCCACATAGGAAAAAAACAAAAGATACTGAACTAAAACCAAGCAGATAATGAAAACTAAATCCCTGTGAATAGTATGACTGATTGTATTCTGCACATCTTCAAATTTCTTAGATAAAAATGTAATCTGGAACACTGAGGGCCCCGTAATATTAACATTAATGTTTCCTTAGAGCCGTTCATTGTTTACTACATGAAATAGTAGGGCTCTGCAAAGTCGTATCCTATACAAGAAAATTGTATACAGTAACTCTGCAGTTTTGTACTGTCACTGCCAGATAGATGTTGTTGTAATGTTGGTCTTGTTATTGCAGTAAAGTGATTTAAGAGCAAAATCTCTTAAAATAGCTCATTTAAGCTTACTCTATGGGGAAAGCAGAGTGCACAGTGCTTGTATTTCTTTCACACTGGCTTTCTCCGGGATACTACTTATTTTCATTCAGTCTATTTCAGGGCACTTTTCAAACACTTTTGAAACACATTTGCACCTAACACCTAACTGCACAGGCAAAATGATCGTACTTCAATACAGTTGGCTTTGTATCTGATAGATATCAGGTAGAAATAAATTGTATCTGATAGATATCATGTAGAAATAATTTGTATCTGATGTCTGTCAAAGGTGTTGAAGAAATCTGGGTTGTTTTTTTTTTGGACAGGATGAGTATCTAGGTGAGATTAAGTCTTCAGGGCAAGATGCAAAACTCATTGAAGTCAATGGGTGGGTATCTTCCCAATCACTTCAGTAACTTTACGCCAATCCCAGTGAAATGGCTCATCTCAGGATGGGCTTAAGGAAATATTAACAAGTTGTTGAAGAAATAGTGATGGGAGGGAGGGCTGCGGGGGAAGTACCACAGAAGTAGCTGGGTCAGACATTTCAGAGGTGGAAATTAATAGAAAGGGAGCAGCAGTGCTTGAAGGCACATGCTACTATACATACAATATGGCATATATTATTTTGAGTGATGTTCAATGCCTCAGTTTAATAGGGTGGCTAATAAAGGCAGAAAGTTAAGATTTAAAATGAAACTGCTGTTGGTTACGTACAGAAACTGATCTTTAATATGTTGCAGTAGCAAGAAGAGATTCTTCTGTGTCTCAGGACTGGAATCATTGCTTTGCTAGAGCGTATGGTATCATTACATTGTGATAAGTGGTTTATAAACACGTTCTTGTTTGAAACAAATAAATAGAGCTAATAGACTTTTCAACAGTTGCTTGTTTAGATTTACTGTAAATATTAAATGTTGTTTGTATACTCAGAAAATACTCGAAACTGAAAATACTTACTGTTTTACAGATGCCTCGAGTAAGTGATATAAACTGATAATCTGTCATTGTGAATAATGAACAAAGTAGTTCCAGATTTGGAAATGTTGCCTTGAATGCCAGTAGGAAAAAACCTGTAGCAATCAAGAACAGAACAATTTGTGTGTGTGAATTTGACTATTAAAACATTAATGACAGCGAAAATGAAAGCTGTCACTTACCTTGGTTTGAGAAAATGCATGTCTGCTTGTGTTAACTGGCAAAATCATCAAAACAACAGGATCTGCTATCTTGTGAAGTAAGCTTAAGAATCCCTCAAATAACCTTACCATGGAAGTTTCCCTGCATCCTGTGTATACTTGGAGATAAAAAAAAAATTTTTGCTTTCATCATAGGCTAAATATTGACTTTTATTCAGGAATGGCTTTTAAAAGGCTATTTTTTTTAATGAAAAATAGGTAATTGTGTTATAATAAATTTTCTGAATTTCTGTACTAATCGGTTTTGAAGTTTCAACACTATTTGTCTTTAATGATACGGTCAATTGTAAATAATAGAGAACAGATTTTTGTGGAATTTTTGTGCCTTTTATATGCCGAAGCCACATGTACGTGGGTAAAAAATAATGGTTTTGTGTGTGACAAAGTGATTCAAATTTTTATCTGAAAATTTTCTGGAAGGTAACTAAATATGAACAAACTCACCCATAATTTGTTGCCACAAAAGCTGCTGAGTGTTATTTTGCATGATTAAACACAATATGACTGAAAAACTTTGTTAAAGAGGAATTATTTTAATCTGCACAAGAAAACAAGTTGAAAATCAACTTTATTAGGACTTATTTCTAAGGAAAATATGTGAGATGCTAAGACAAGTTGTATTTTGTGCTCTCGTGTTTTAAATTTTCAAAGATGAGTTTTGCTCACATAGAGGTAAAACGCCAGAGAAACTAATATCTTAAAATCTCTTTTGACTTAGAAAAAACTGACCCAGAGAATACTGCAGCAGGAGATAAAGACGTAAACCAGCCTTCCAGTAACCAAAGTATACAACCAGAGATACAAGACCAGTCTGTCTGGGGAAATCGCAGTGATGGTGACCTCATCAGAAGTAAGTATTTCCAGACCAAATTGCTGCCATTTAGACTTGCTTTTGCAGTATAACAGGGTACTGCCTGTTGACTCAGTTAAATGTGTGTCAAATGCAATTGTGTTGCAACTCTAATGCATGTCTACTGAATTTATTTCTCAGAATGACTCCTGTCAGCATGCATAAGCAATGAGTTCAAAGAAAGGTGTGATTTGAGTGGTGCAGTATAATATAGACCTTTGTAGCATCTACATTTTAAAGCCTTGACGTTATATTCTTCTCTTAGCATTCATAATGGGATCGGTATATTTATACATCAGCTGCAGTATGCAACGGTGCTAGGTGTCGACGCCCCTTGATTTCCCAGGTTATACACTTAAGTGGCAGAGAAAATGATGCTGAGAGCAGTTGCTTCCAGATTCACTGAGTACTAGTCAGGTGTAAGTTTATAAAGAGTTTTGAATACTAAAGTAGTTGTTTCTTTCAAAACTAGAAGAATGCTGTAAGACCTATGCTATGGAACTGTGGTTTTTTTTTCAATTAGTTTTTACAAGTCCACATTCCTCATGTATGTCTTGGATGCTTTAAAACATAAAAGGGTATGCAAGATTATTCCTGTTTTTCTGTCTCGAATTGAAAATCATACGCTGTCCAAAAGGTCATCCACAATTGCACCCTCCTGAGGTGAGAATACTTCTGTCAGCTGCCAAAGCTAATGCTATTTTAAAATTCTGTGAATGTTTGACCGTTAGTTGCTCAAGGGAGGGGCAGCATGAGAAACTGCTCTCTAATTATAAGGTGTATTCAGAAAGCAAATGGACTAAGTGCTGCGTGGTGCTCCAGCTCTCCGACCACACACTTCAGGGTCAGTCTGTCTTTACGCTGTACACGTACTCCACTGTACACAGTGGGGTAAATTCATATTTCTGAACCTACTGTTGCATAACTGGTGATTTTCTCTGGAGTTACCCGTTTCTTTTTAGGGTTTTTGTGTTGTTTTTTTGTTTGTTTGTTTTGTTTTTAATCTTATCTATGCAATCAACTTCTCCTGAACTTTGTCTTAGCATTTTAAATTCTTTTAAAATCTTAGTTAATCCTTTTTTTCTAAATAATGAATCCCGGCAAATACTTACATCCTTAACATATTCAATAGTTATCTAGATCCTTTACAGGAAACTTGAATTTAGCACATCAGATATTTATCTGACAATTTAAAAATAATTCTTAAAGGGCTATAAAGAGGGAGCATTATCCTGCACAGCTTGAGGGTTTACTTAATCCAAAAAGATTGTTATTTAGACCTCACTGTCCCTGGACAAGCAGTTGCTTTGTGCTTGTGTTGAGGACGTGGGAAGGTGCATACGGCATGTGCTTTTGGAGTGGCCTCTTTCTCATTCCCTCTTCCTAGAGGCTTCCTTATTCCCAGACTCGTGGAAAAGCAGATTTATTTGGTAGTAATTAGCAGGATGCCTGAACTATAGAGGGAAGGACCAAGGACAGTAGGGTGGTTCTGTGCTTCCCCTAACCTGTTCACCGCAAGGACATACGGTAGTGGTTACACTGGGGAGGTGGGAGAGGGGAAGAGAAATTTTTTTTCAACGTATAGTAGAAATTGCAGCAGATTGTGCAAGTCCCTGGTAAAGTGACTTGACAGTTACATACATTTAAATTAAAAAAGTGACAGGAAAAAGGGCAAAGATAGGATGAAATTCAGAGTTGTAATGTACTGCTCCAGCGTGCATAACTGTGCTCCTCCTGGAGTCACTAGTGGTTTTACCTTTGACTTTGTGAAGAGCAAGTTTAGGTGAAAGCTGGAAGTTTCTGAAACTCCTAGTCTTAATAAAACCACTGCAACACAAAATTCAATTATTATGAGACACGTTTGAGTAGTTGCTATGATGCAATCCTCTTTTTGTTTCAAATTAATGATTTTTTAATAACCTTTAACATTAAAGTCTTCTAGATGGAAGAAACAAAAATGATGGAATTAAAGCAGCTTCTTTTTCTTCTTTTTTGGGGGGCTGTGGCTATGAGTAGGGAAGTCTTCTACTTAAAAAAATTGAGGAACAGTGTTTGGCTCAATTACAAGTACTTCTGGTAGTTTGCAGTTTTACAACTTGATCTACTTAGTAACTAAAGTTTGAAAAATAGAACAAGTAGAGCAAAGAGAAGCTTGTTTGTCACAAACATAACTTAGATATTTCATCTCAAGTATCGAGTGTTGTAGCTCAGGATGGCTGTGATTCAACCAGATCTATTACCCCACTAGACTATAAAGTTTGCAGAATACTGCATCTTGAAAGGAGCTTGAGGTTAGAAATAAACAGTGTTTTGATCATTATGGTCTACTTTAAAACTGTTTCTTTAAATTGTTTTATACAGGACATACTTCAATTTTCACAGGTATTAACAATCATTCACCACTATCCTCATGATTCGGTTTCTTTTTTTCCCATACAGATTGTTTTCCACCTCCACAGTTGATACATACTCCATTTGTGTTAGCCTTAGTTTTCACTTTATAAATGTTTCCAGGGCTTAATTTCCAAGGTTTTCCTTGTTTGCAGCTGTTTTATCCTGCTGTTATATGGAAGCAGATTAATCAGTCAGTTTTATTGGCACACCAACAACGAAGTCCAGTGTTAGAGACTCTGTAATGACTTCATTATGTATGATTTCTCATTTGCACTTGTGAACTCAGTTTACCAGGCAACGTCAATAAACTAAAATGCTGTCCCCGTTTTCCACAGTAAGGCGTTTTCAGTTCACCTTGCCCTGCCCTTGCAGTCCTTTTTTCAAACCCCCTTTTCTTAATCTCTAGATGATGAGATTTCCCCCAGGTTACCCCTTTCCCCACCTCCTTTGGAGCATCCTTTCTCCCTCCAAATAAAAACGTAATGGGTAATCTTATGGGAAGCTTTAATCAAGGAATTAATTGTTTTTGAGGAGAACTTGAGAGTCAAAAGCTTACTGTATACTGACATATAGACAGGGAAGAGCTAAATAAGAAGAAAGTGATTATGTTGCCTTTCTGTATTAATTTTTAATGCATTTGCTTAACTGTTGCTGGAATACTGCATTCAGTTGGAGAAGGGTCAGGGGAGAACCACGGATGTCTCAGGAATGACTGGAGTAGCTGAAAACATGCCTTATTGCAGAAAAACTCCTGGAATTCAATCTGTGTAGTGTTAACAAGGGGGGTAAAGAGAGGCTTGCCTAGTCCCTGAGAGGCATGATACCGCAACGAAGAGAAATTTGGTAAGACAGTTCTTCAACTGGAGCAGACAAAGGGAGAACTAAATGTAATGTCTGGGAGTTCAGTTAGACTGGAAATACAGTATGCATTTTTTTAACAGAGTAATTGAGAACAGGAAGAACTGCCAAATATTTTGTGGTTTTAGGTGTGTTAAATTGGCTTTATTCTTCACAAGGTGGCCATTGCTACCCATACTTTTCCGTTTTAGAACTTGAGCGAGGAAGAGTCTCTTTTCCATAGTGGTTCCCCCAAATTGGGAGAAAACTTATTTTTCAGCTCAGGTGTTCTTCAAGGCAACGATGAAACCTATTCCTTTCCCTTCACAGAAGCACACATATTTTGTATTTTATTTCAGGCTGTAGAGGTTTTCAAAAGAGCTTAGCCGTAGGATAGTTCCATCTGCTTTTCCTTCCTCTTTGGCAGTGCATTTTAGATATCTGCAAACACCTTCTGCTTATTTTCATTGTATGATCTGATGGCCTGTAATGGAGATGTTCTGCTTCTGTTATCACTCACCTTTGGCAAGGGGGAAGAGTGGATGTTAAAGCATGCAGCAGGCTAACCTGTGGCTCTAGGGATGAAGCTGAAAGAGTTTTTGTTGCTCCACGTTACCACAATGCCCTGCTTTGTTCTTTGGGGAAGGTTGGGAATTTTTTTTTTTCCCTCTTAAAAAAAAAAAAAAAGCTATAAAGCTGGGTTTCAGAATATTTAGGCATAATTTTTACAGAGGGTACTAGGTTATCCTCAATGTGTGCTGTTATGCAGGGCAAGGAATGTTTAGAAGGGAAGAAAATGCCAGTCTTGAACACTATTTGCTTGTGAGGATTTAATCTCCTTTCCAGTTCTCAAGCAGGACCTTAGCTATGTGATATTTAAGAAAACAAAAAACATCTACCATAGATTCAAATTGTCATGAATAATTGATTAATAATAATCCAATTCTCAAGATTAAATACCTAAAATATGCCCATGTTTTACAGATAGAAAGGTCATTGCTATCCATCATTTCCTAGCTTCAATTGCCTCTTTCTCCTCCATGAAACACCCTCCTGATAAGAGTGGTTCTTCAGAGAAAGGGATGCTTCATTCGGCTCTGTGGGGTTTAAACAATTTTACATGTTCTTGTGACCACTATTTTATTTACTACATTCTTCTTTATTGCGTTTTGTTTTATTGGAATAAAAACGTAGATATTTTTATCTTTTTGTTTTCTATATTTTTATGTTGACGTTTTTACTTTACATGACTATTTATTTAATTTTAATGTCTGGAGATTCCCTTTTCCTTCTGGCTAAGAAAGTGAATGATTTCTGTAGTTTAAATGATGCAGTTAGGGTTTAGGACTTTTTTCCCAGCATGAAGAAGATAATCTGCTGTTAGAACTGTTCTTTTGGTTTGATATTAATCCAAATATCTTTTTTTGGCTAATTTATGGTGCACAGTCATCTTACAATTATTGTGATCTCAGATGGCTGTGTTTATTCTGTCTAAAAAATAGTGGTAAGTGCTTGAGATAACTTAAATGGTTCTCTTCAAAGCTAGAAAGTATGACAGCTAGAGTCTTCTTACAGCGTGACTGAGTGTGTAAGTACAGAAATTGTGCTGAATAGATTAATGGAAATTATTCAAAATATATTGCTGAGTCTAAAAGGTGTATTCTTTTAGTTAAAGAAACAATTTATGTATGATGTTCCAAATATACCCAGGTATAAAAAAGCGTAAGCCTATGAATGAACAAAGCTTTAATCAGTTCAGTACTTAAATA